GCGTTGAAGTCGGACTTGTATCCATATGCAAAGAACTTTCCACCAGGAGCATGTGCGTTTCCGATAGAGAAACGAAATCCCTTGTAGTCGTTCGCGGACTTCACAGTCAGAGCAATGTTCTTGCAAGTGGAGATGTCTGGGAAGATGCGGCCAAACGGGTTCATGTCGACAACTGAGGCCTTAATGAAGCCTGGTGCCTTCAAGAAGGGTACGTCCACTACCTCGCCACTAAAGACGCCCTTGTTGTCAGCCACACTGAAAGCACCGGTTGACTTCCCTCCCATCACGGGATCGTTCATTTGGCGCCACTGGTGGGTACTGCCCTTGGCGCCATCGAAAGATGCGAGCAAGATCTCGTTGGCAGCACACAGCTGGACCGATGCTGCGCAAAACACACTCAGAACACGCGCCATAGCTTCAGGCTGGTCTGGCAAGCGGATCTGGCACTGAAAACCTTGAGACCGAAAAACCGCACAGTGTGCAAGACCGAATGAAATTCCATGACGGTCGTGTCTGCCACCTTGGAAAAAGCCTCGGCTTGCCAGGCAGGTCCCCCGGTCCTTGTTTCCCCCGGTGGCTCCACTGACCACTGGCCTCGGCCCCGACTTCTCTGATGACGAACGCACAGCCCAGGAAACGGTGCAACCGTGAGACGCTTCTCAACTGTGAACCAGTAGCATGCACTGGTTGAATCTTGGGAACGACAGCTACATGCGGGACTTCTCCGCTTCGCAGGGAACAGCATGCTTCCATTTGGTGTGCTGGGTCGGGTGCGTCTGGAGCACCATTAGAAGGCCAAAAGGGGTTAGCAGCCCGCGTGCTGCATGGAAGGCGTATCCCCACCTGTGCGTCCGAAGGCTTGACACAGTCTCTGCATCTCCAAGTAACTCTCAAGTCTTTGCCTCGTGGGACCTGTGTTAGATGTGATGTGAGATACTTATGGCATATGGGATAGTCAGCGGTAGCACCGTGGCTCGGTTCAAGAAGGGTCATGAAGAAGTGTAATGCAGGTGGGTCATGATCTGGCCAAGCAAAGCTGAGATGTCTTCTCCAATCCTCCTGAATTACCATGAATGCTTACCCGAACGAGACGCACGGGAGGCTGCGGTTGATCACCTCACGCATAAGGCCATCAAGCTTATCAGGGATCGCGAAGAGCTAAGGAAACAGCATAGAGGAGCCGCCACAGCGCATCATGATCCCACCTTGTTCAGTGGGTGCTGGGGCTTGCATGCGCTCGGCATGAGAGCGTTAATGCGTTTGATTGTGTGGTGGTTTCGATATGGACGACCATGTTGTGAAAGCAGTCCTGTTTATACAGTCCAAGAGTTGGGAATCATGGCAACAAATCAAGACAAATCAAGAGATCGAATGTACCCAAACAAAAGGTCTTGCCCGCCGAGAGCTTGGCAAAGAAATGTTTTAATCATCAACTTTCAGGCAGATCGATGTTGCTTCATGCTGCCAACATGAGCACCCCCAACTATACCAACAAGAAAGTTAGCAGTTTATACAGTACTATTCCGATGCAGCCTCCACACGCACAGAAGCGTTCAATGGAGCCTGAGCCCAGAGCCAATTGCCATAATGATGCAGCTGGGAAGGACAATCGCCTTCACCATCTGGCCCTCAGACGTGCCCTGCATCAGCCATGCAATCAGCTTTTGCACGGCATGCCAAAGGTCCATGTGACAGCTGTGAGCTTCTATTTCGTGCAGCTCAGGATTCTCTATTTTGGGTGCTGAGCATGAGCAGAGGGCTTGCCGCTGTTCCACATGGCGAATGTGAGGCTTGCTCATGATCTGTCAGGCCATGGCCTCATCTCCGAAGGTTTCCGAGATTGTCTCAGGATGAGTCTTCATGAAGGCCTCGGCATCGCACATGACCGGAAGGCTGCTCGAGGCGACTCGGTTCTGCAAGCAGTTGCCATGTATGTGCTTGGCTCGACGCTGGTCTCCAAGATCTCAGGGGTCGAAAATTACGTTCGGAGTTTCATTGTTGTTCTTTGGGTTTTTGTGTTTCCTGTCCCAGAGCATCTGCAACTATGGCCAGGCGGAGACTCCCCTTTAAACTTACGTTATACACACTTTTCTTCACACTTTGCCTAACTCCCCGCATCCTCTTATTTGCACAGGATGCTCGCTGCGCGAGCCCTTTTCAGAAGCTGCTTAGGCCGAGGCTGTAAATTCAGCAATTGCGATTCATCAGAAGCTTGAACAGATGTGAAAAAGTTGTCACTTACAGCATATTCGCACGCGAGTTTCCAGCCGTTCACGTTCATCATATGTCTTAAACACGCCCCCTCATTTGCCAGCTCCGGTTCATCACATATCTTAAACACGCAGCCACATTTGGCGATTCCGGTGCACTATATATCTTAAACACGCCGCCTTCTTTGGCGATTCCGGGTCATCATATGTCTTAAGCACGCCCCCTCATTTGCCAGCCCCGGTTCATCATATCATATGTTATCTTAAATACCCCCCCTCATTTGACGATCCCGGTTCATCACATGTCTTGAACACGCCCCCTCATTTGGCGATTTCAGGTCAACATGTATCTTAAACACCCCCTCAGTTTGGCTCAGATCGGACAAGAAGAAAAGCGGCGGAGCAAAAGAGCAAAGCGTAAAAGCAGAGAAGCGGACAAGGAGAGAAGCATAAAAGCAAAAGCAGAAGCAAGAACAAGCAAAACACGAGAAGAAACCACAGGTAGAGGCAACAATAACAGCAGAAACGCGGCTAAGCAGAGCAACAGAAAATCGAAGCAGAGAAGCGGAAAAGCACAGCACAAATACAGTACAAGCAAGCAAAAGCAGCAGGTAGAAGGGACAACAGGAGCAAAGCATAGAAACAAAAACAACAAAATCCAACACAAAAACACAGCAACACCTTAAAAAAGTAGACCTCCAAATCTCGGTCATGCTGGGATGTATGGAATGGGAGAATGGTGTGGAATTCCGCCCGCAGCGACCGACAAGGCTAAGGAAGGAGCTGTATAGTCCGGCTTTCCAGTTTCACGGAATTGGTCCTGCGACTCAGACGGCACAACTTGTTCTCTACTGCATTGGGGGGGGGGGGGTTGGCTTGTGACGGCAGGGCCGCGTCCTTGAAGGCTCGGATGTACTTGTGCCTGTTGGTGGGGGAAGAGTACCACACCTGAGCCGTTTTCTCCGAATTGGCGCACGATGTGACAACTGTACCTGAACTGTACCTCGACGTCCCTGCAGCGACAACAGGACATGTGCTTGCCGGGCATCCAGCATCAATGGAACTCACGAAGGCTATGTGGCACATGCGGGCAGCGAAGAACATGATGATGGCGCCAACCTCTGAACCAGCTTCGAAGAGTGGCAGCTCAGTCAGTTCAGCTGCTAGACACATTCATCTCATCAACCTGTGAGGACTTGCTCTGATCAAATGCAAACTGTGCTGGGGCTGAAGGGCTGCCAGCTACCGGCTTGAGTACACGGCACACTGCACCATCAGATGTGGATTGTCCTCTGCCTCGCAGGCAGCTTGACACCGCAAACAGAAATCTCTAGTCTTTTTGCAGCACGCGCAGGTGACCGTGGTTCCTGGGAATGCAAACCACTCACTGAGGATGCAGCCGACATCTCTTCGTCGATACTCCGGTGATTGTCACTAAACCGATTAAAACTCTGGAACCACACAGCAGCTGCGGTCCGAACATGCATCTCTTGTCCCCTGTCGTGGTCTTTGCTTATGCTGCTGTTTGACCGCATCAGCCCTCACTTACTGCAGCCTGTCGGGACCCGGCATTCGGCTTGCATATGCCCTCTGAACTGAAATCAATCCGACCCCTGAGCGAATTCTCATGGTGGAGGGTTTCAGCAGAGTCTTCCAGGATCCATGGGCTGTAGATCGCCGTAGCTGCTGCATGCCGCCTGATCATTCAACCTGTGGCCTCTCATGTCTGAGGTTTGAGCTCCCAGAAGACCCAAACCTTGGACACCAAGGCACCAAGCACACGGCACGTTCTGGACCGACGTGTCGCAGTAGCAACTACCGCTACCATGTCGTTTGCTTGCCTGCTTTGGGGTCTGCAGTAGAGGGTGCGGACAATCACTGCCCGGAGGCATGCCGCCTCGCGCCATACCCTGTGTAACTCAGCAACATAAACAGGTTGATCGTGTGGCATGAGCAAGACAGCTTCCGCTGCCGGACACAAGTTGCAACCAGTGGTAAGGGGTGAGCCATCACTGAAGCCCAAAGCAGCCTCAGGAGGGCTTGGGGAAATGCTTGACGACGTTCAAAGGAGCGCTGCAAAAAATGCAATAAAGGATGTAGTCTGAAGGTCGCCAGGAGTTCTGTCCACACTGGGCACACTCGTGTCATCACAGCTGCATGGGAGCCATCATGGATGCTATATGGCAAGTTCGAGCTGAAACGTCCGTGTTGCTTCAATTCGAGGGCCGGACACGCTGCGCTTCGTCGCCACCTCTTCCTCCACGTCTTGCGAGAATCCTTTGGCCCAGCCTGGTGAGGTCCCAGAGCCGTTGCCCAAAATCCCCGGGTAGCGATACCCCGGCTGGACCCGGGTCCAGACATCTATCAATGGTCAAAACAGCAGGGCTGTCAGACTTGGTGCCCTGAGTGGCCATGTTCATATCCAGTGCCACCGATCTACTGCCTTCGAACAAATGCCTCGAGATTGGGTGAAGTCAACCAACTCCACACTCCATGAGCCTGCTTGGGCAGCCGCAGCGATCATGCAACCTGGAGAGCCAGGGAGGCAGGAGAAGTCCCTGACATCAGCAAGTCCACCACCATCACCCATCAGAATCATCACAATCATCGTGTTGGAGGCGTCGTCGATAAAGCACATGCCAGCTACAGTAGTTAAGTTCTTTGCTTTCCTGAAACGAATGCGCCGCCACCTTGCTGGATCTTGTCCTTACTCTTGCTGCTGTTTCTGCGGCTTCTGTCTTGCAGCGTGCTGATGCTTGTCACCATCGTGGTGGGGTGGTGCTGCTGCCGCTCCCGATTTGTTCTGTGATGAGCTGGAAAGCAGTTATGGCCCTAGCACTGATTTGAATGTCTCCGCAATTGAAACGACAGGTCAGCCAAGTCTGCCTGACAGATTCCAAAGAAACCGTGCCCGGACCGACTTCCATGACGAGTTGTGGTAACAGCATCTTCTCATTATTTAGTCACATCGACGGCTTCAGGAGCACGGCTTCTCGGGACGTGTTGCCGGTGCGGCTATGTACACCAAGTGGGCAGCAGTCTCCTCCAGGCATCATCCACAATTTCAGAAGCTGCCAGGGTCCGCCGCCACCCCGCCCATCTCAGCTGGTTGCCTCCCAGGGCTGTACCGCACATGCTTCTTAGCTAACGCTTTGTTTTCATCGGCCGTGGGCCCATCCTGCGGCTGCGGTGACAACGAGGCGCGCATGGCGTCCTCGAAAAGCTTGCGGGCTTCTGCCTTTGCGGCTGCATTGCCGCCGGCCGACTGTGCCACCTGATTCGAATGCTGCTTGTTGAGATCCGCAAGAACGTGGACAAACGAAACTGGCACGACCTGAAGCGACTTGTTCAGACGAAGAAAAGTCTAGATTGACATATCGCGGCCTTCATCACATTGTGCTTTTTGCAGGCCAACCCCGACCCGAGCAGGTGCCTGCAATGCCCGAAGATCTTTCAAGGCCTTGCATCGGCAAAAGACTTCACGGCTCTGCTGTCCGCTGTGGGCTTCCAAGCTACCAGGCATGGCAGGGGCTGCAAAGGTGTACCACGGGCAAAGTTAGTCTCTTCTGTCGCAGACTCAGATTGCAAAGCTTTAGCCTCCTCTGCGCGGCGCCGGCGCGGCCCGCGGCAAAGAGGTTCCAGCTGTTCGGGCTCTGACGCACCTCAGGGTTTCTAGAAATTTGCCACTCAGGACTGCGCACCTCATCGAAAGGACCGGGCACTACGTCCAGTCTTAATGCAGCTCGCGGCTGGCAGGAACGATGTTACACTGACTAAGTGCTATAAACTCTTGAATTGAAGCAAGCTCTTACTGGCGAATCGGCGTTGCTTGCAAAGGCTCGACAGTGTTTGCTCCCTTCTTCTGACTGCACGTGCACACGGCCGCACTGATGTCTGCAACAAACCATATGAAAACCGCCCAGGGGCCCCAACAGCAAACACACCGAACAAGCCTTGACGTTGGTGCCAAAGCTCTGCATATGCAAACGCTTGCTGCTTGCTCTCTTTTTCCGGCTGACCTGCCAAACAAGCTGCAGTCTTCAAGGGTTCGGGTGGATGGCGAATCTACATCGCGCCGCTGAGACAAGGACTTGATTTAGAATCGTTTCCGAGCACGATTGATTGATGGAAGCGCTGCGGGGGCCAAGTCAGTGATTGAGTTGCCATCCGGCCTTCAGCACACAAACATGCTGTAATAAACGCGGCCGGATGCCTACGAGGCTTACTGGCAGTGCTGCCGGATCTACTCTCGGGCCGCAGAGCTCCACGGGCGCTCCGCCGATGCATCTTCGCCCCTCCACACATCTACGTTTATCCGCATCAACAGAACTAGCTAGCTCCTTAATTAGCCTTTTCTGAGTCCGCTGCATATCACACCATGACATGATATTGATACAGGCAATCTGAGACTAGGAAAATCATCGAGCCATCGCAGTACTGATTCTTGGTTCAGACAATTGGAACTGATGTACTCAGAAAAACCCAAAAAGACGGCCCAGCCTTTGTCAGCGAGGTAGCTGGGCCCCACCACGCGGCAGACGTTCGCGTTGACACCTCGGGGCCGCGTACCGCCGCGCCAGCGCAGCTGCCGCTGGAAGTGGCGCAGGTGCTGCTCCTCCATTCCGAACTCGAACCCCGCCCCCCTCAGGTTCTATTCGGACCTCTGCTGCGATGCGCTCTAAGAGCATTCACCCGCCTTTGAAAGCTCTCCAGCTTAATTACTATTGGGGGGAAGTGCTCAGTTGTGCTGCCCATGCCTCCGACCCGGCTACGCCACAACTCCTAGAACAAAAACCACGAAGCTCCAGTCGGTCGACCAGGGCGCGCTGCTCCTCCTCGGCTGCCTCCCAGGCACGCCGCTCGGATTAGAAGAAGCGGCAGGTCAAAGACTCCAGGCCAGACTTTTACTTTGCCACTTGCCTAACGAGGTCCTAGAACAGGGCCAGCAGCATGCTGCAGATTCTGCTTCAACTTCGACTCTCGCGACGGCCGGAGTCGCAGAAGGCTTCCGACTACCCACTAACACCACCGCTGCAAAGGAGTACGCCCCGAACAAACCCACACCACAACGTCATAAAGCCGGAGCCAAACCCGGCAGCAAAGGCAAATAGGGGGTGTACCCCTCCAGCTACCTACCCACCCACATAGAGTACATCCAGGGCCTAAACATGCCCAAACAGTAATGGGGAAGCAAACAGCAACAGTTCCACAATTAACCAAAGGAAGCACCACATGCGTGGGCTTATGGACTACTGAGAAGCACGTGCCACATTGGGCAAGAGCTCACCAACTATGACTGTTGTTGCGAAAAATAATCTCACGAGTCATGTAAAGGAAAGACTTCATTCAAAACGAGATGAATGAGACACTACACGTCGCGAGGTAGTCGATGTGCTCAAAAGACCCAGCCTTTGAGGCCACAGTCATTCTTTGGATAGCTGACAGAAGCTGCGCACGCGAGGCAGCAACAGCAAGAAGGACAGAGAGTTCCTCGCCAGGCGGTCAGGTGTGCGTGGCACCTGTGTGCATTTATAGGCTATTGCATTGGGCTCTGTGCCGCATCTCTGTCTACTGGCCGCACACTGGTACAGAGGCTACTACTGCGTGCACGCGGACAAAGGGCGAAGTCAAATCCAACATGCTCCATGCAGGCCTAGGCCACTAATGACTGTGGAGACTGCAGAGCTTAAACCGTCCTCGTTCTGGCGCAGTGCAGTTTCCAAGTCCCACGTCACCGGAGTAAACCTTGAAATGACGCACCATCACACAATCAATCAGTCCATTCCTCACACACACACACATATATATATACACACACACACATACACGCATGTGTATGGTCTCGCGTCGCGTGTCGGACCCCCTATCCCCGAATCCTCGTGAGGGTCGTCACTTTTGCCTCAAGAGTCCAAGAGTTACAGGGATGGGCCCCCCGAACCCGGGATCCTCGTGGGTGTTGTGATGCAAGTTCGTGGGGTGTCCGAAGTGGCGCTGGATGGGCCATGGTTGTGGTCTGCGCTGCGCCCAGCTGCCGACCCTCAACCCTAAACCTGTTCATATCTATACACCTATAAACCTCAAACAACTCCACCACTCACACCACAGGGAGGGTGCGGGTGCAAACCCTAAACCCAACACCCACCACAGGGAGGGGGGACCACACCACAGCGGGGGGCTGGGGCGCGGGACAGCATGAGGCCACCACAGCCCCAGGGTGAGGCGAGCACCACTGCCAGGCGAGAAAAGCTCCGGGGTCCCGCGCCCTGCCCACCAGGGTAGCGCTGCTGAAAGCGGCACCCCCCCACCCCTGTACCCACCCTTGCCCCGTGCGGAAAGCGGCAATCTGTGCAGTAGTTTCCCGCATCAGACATGAGTTACAATGCTTAATATTAGCTTAATTATGAGGGCTGTATGGCGATGGTGATGGTGGCAGCTATCCTTTTGATGGTGCTGATGATGAAGATGAGACGACAATGATGATGTCGAGCATGATGTCAAAGATGATCCGATTGTCGACTCGCGTCGCCGTCTTGAGCGGCACAACATCATGAGCAGTATCACAGGTGCCACAGCAAGAAGGAGGATAAAGAGTAACACGTAAGAACTTCAAGAACGGCGGATGCGGGCCGCACGACCATAGTAGATGCAATTGTAGACATGAGTGGTGCTGGAGAAGATCAGAAAGAGCGGTCTTAAAGTTCCACGTAACAATAGTTGAGTCACTAATCGTGACATATCGTGACAAGTAGTCCTTGTGTTGCACGTGTTGCGTACTCCAATTCAGGCCAACCAAAGCCTCAGCAGGGGGGTGCAGAGCCCACCACAACGAAACCGAGATGGGGAAGGGCACCACCACAGGCCCCCACCCCACAGGTGGGGGGCGGGGGGGGGGGGGCAGGGGGGACACCATGGGGTGGGGGATGTATGTATGTACGTACATACGCATGCATGCATGCCAAGCACGCAGGCAGGCAGTCCATGCAGTGTATGCAGGTATTTCGGCATGTAGTTGTGTGTGTGTGTAGGTATGTAGGTATGCATGTATTCACGTATGTCGATGTGAACATATATACGTACGTACACAAGTATATGTATATACACATGCAAGTGTGATGAAAATATGCACGTGTGCGTGTGAATGCCCTGAAGTCTTCAGCACCCCGAGCATCGCGCATTCCAACCTGAAAGCATGCACCTTCATGGCAAGAGAGCTGCATGTGACCATGGCAACGAGGGAAACTGCACAGGTGAAACCTGCATGTGAGCAAGGTGCAGAGCGACACGTCAAATGCAGCCGGGAAACAACACCTCATCGCTCCCAATGGAGCACTCTGTGATGAATCGCAACCGGGGGTCCGTACCACCACCTCGACCAGGTCAAACACATGGTCGAAGACGCATACATACGCACGCACGCATGCACGCACGCGCACGCAAACACGCACGCACGCA